TCGGGCGCGCCGCCATTGTCAGTACGGGAGCCGACACCTGTCTTGGACACGATTGAGACGGAAGCGTTTTCGACAGCAGGTGCGGAGTGACGCGGCGAAGGCGGCGGCGTTCTCCAGCGGAGGCGCAGTCGTTAGCTGCCGGCCAGGTGTTTGCTGCCATTAAGTGGACAAGCTGCCGAATCATCGCCGCCCGCCGCTGGGCCGAGCCTCCCTGGGCGCAGATAATTGGTGTACCCGACCGGGCACGTCATGCCGATTGTCCGGCTGACGTGCCGTTTCAAACTTGTCTCTCATCCGAAAGTTGCGAACTTGTGGTCCGTGAAATGGCGCGAAGCTTGTCACGTTTGAGAGCGTGTGTTGGTTTTCGGAATAAATTTATTTTATTCATATTTTTTGGCATAACCAAAATGACTCGGGCTTTTATTTATAACTTTGGGATGAAACACGCTAGCAAATCGTGATCTGAGTCACCCTGGTCTTACTGGAGACGTGACTGCCAGCTAGGATAGACGGCTTGAATATTTCCCTAATGCAATTTTCAAATTAAAATGCTTCTAACTCAATAACGGAAGTTGTTATGTGAACAATATAATGCTGTTTACAAATGATCGTTTTCGCATTTTAGATTCTCTAGCCAGATAGGCTTTCGAATCCTGTTTCGAATGTACTGTTGAAATTTGAAGCATTTTCATTCATCATCGTGCCATCACCGCTAAACAATAACGTTTCGAGTGATATGATTTACACTTCGGATCAATGATTGGACCAGCCGACAGACGTCAGGCGTGTGTTTGCTCGACCACAATTTTTCACGGCTTTGTACCAAACCCATCACTTTCACGGAATCATTCATTGGTCCACACACAAAAAACACATGAGGTGATGTGTTATTGTGATATTGTTATTTGTAATTTGCTACGCTACATAATCATCGTAAGCTCATTTTACCATTATATAAAGCAGTCAGCTCAATGCCAATCCGATCTGATCAGCACAGGTTGATACGGCAGCTGTATGTACATACATACAGACCGTTCCCGCGGCTGTCCCGGCCCACTGTCTCGGCTCGTCGGGTGCACACAGCTGTTCACAGGCCGGCGGCGCTCCAAGCCATCGTTCCCACGTGGCCGCGTATACGCGCGGGCAGTCGCAGAGAAAGCCGAACGGCGGCGGAACCTGCACCGTGCTCCCTGCTGCACTGTCTCCCGGAGAAGATCTTCGACCACTCCCCGTCAATAGATCGGCCCACAATGACACCGGCGGCGGCGGCGCGCGGCGCTTTCCCGGCCCCGCAGCGCGGCGGGCGTCATCCGCGCGACAGGCGCTCGGTTTCACCGCGAACGAGTATTTCCAGTGCGGCTCTCGCCCGCGCCGTCATGGCTGGAGGTCCGTCCAGTTTCCAGCGTTTGGGCCCGGTCCAGAATCACTCCAAACGTAGAGAGCTCGATTAGTGTATCTGGTGGAGCCGGACTCCGTTCGTTCCTGTCGGTCAGAGACAGCTCGCTTCCTCTTTCGGTTCGGACCTGAGCTACCCTAGTGCCTCCTTCCCGATGTCCCCGGCGCGGTGACTCGTCCTCCTGCCTGCCGGAGGCGCACGTAGCACCCCCCCCCCCCGCGCGGCGCTCGGTCAGTGGCGGCCTTGGACCGCTACCGAACTGACCTGGGAGCCGGGGGACGGCCGCCCGAGCTGCGGCCTGCGGAGAAAGTCGGCGCCTTTCGCCGCTCCGCTGCCGACTCCCGGCCGCTGACCCGGTTCGCGTTGCGTCAAGGTCGCCGGAGGTAATCGCCGTCTGCCGGCCCGTCCGCTGCGCCAACAGAAAGTGAAGCTGACCCGCGCAGCGCCGGCGCCCGGGCCGGGGTGAGAGGCCGTCCCTCCGGCGGTAATGGTCCGCGAGCTTCCCCGGTAAACAACTGCGCCCGCCCGCGCGGGGAGGATCACACGGCACCTGCCGGCCGCTGGAAGGTCGGCGGCGCCTTGTTTACCGGCGCTCGGCTGTTTGGACTTCATCACCGATGGTCTCCGATACCAGACGATCGGGAGCGGGTGGGAGGCACGCGGTGAGCGTGAGACCCGCGCGTGACCGCCTGTGTGAGATACTGCGATAGGCCCTATCGGTCGGGTACGCATACATTCCAGACTGAACGCAAAGACGGTGTTATACCCGGCGTTCGGCGTGGTGGGTGGGTGGCTGATGCTATCGGCGCCCGCTGCGACTCCCACGCTCTGAACAACCAGTGTTGCCAATGCCGCCGCACTCATGCCGCTCGCCGTCGCTGCTAGCCGGAGTTATCATCGATGGCTACTGATGCGAAACACACAGTAAAAGGGAACGTGCAGCTGCATTACTGATTATCTTGATGTAGTCCGATACTATGTAGTTGAGAGCTTCCGCACTGACACACCGATAGGAAATAGCGGAGATACCATATGCCGAGATATACACAAAGGCACTGACGAGGCTGGACCCGGCCGGCCGCTCCTCCGATCACGTGGTGAGAAGGTGCCGGGTGACGTGCTGAGGGTGGGCGCAGCTTACAGACCACGTGACAGCCGTGCGGACGGGATCCCGACCCATGCACCGCTCTCGGCGCCGCGCGCCGGACGGCCAGTCCAGCTTTCACTGAGAGGCGCCATCATGAGGCCCTACATTCAATCGTATCAAGCTCGCGAAAAGATGTGGCATTGGAGGAGGTCATATCCCACCTGGAGGTCATATCCCACCTGAGATTATGTACACCCCAAGACCCCCCTGTGGAGTCACCGACTCGCTCAGTTGGCTCCTGGCTCAGAACACTGGGGAGGCATGGGCACTAATACAAATGATATTAGCGCCACCCATATGATAGTGTTATGTTGTTTTTGGTATGCCTATGTTTTGGTGTAGGTATGATTGTGCATATGTTTTCTGGCGTATGTCTTGTGTGCATTGTGTATGTTTGTTATGCCCATGCTTGTCTTGTCTCTAGACGTAATACAATTGATGATGATGATTGATGATGATGATGATTGCAGGCGAATTTGTAGCTGGATATGAGACTAGACAAGGACCGTTACGCTCGCCTTGCGAGTGGATATCCAATCGAAGGAATGTTGTGATTTGTATGGGATCGCCTTTTGTCCACTCAGAGCTAGCAAGGAATTTTACATTTAGGACGGTGATTACTAAGCAACTATTACTATGCCAAGCAACTATGACGAAGGTTGGGTCCTTAAAAACTGTGATTACGGAGCGAGCGAAGCGAGCGGAGTCTCATACTGAATTAAAGGGACACTCCCACCTTAACATTAGTTTTGAGTTGAGATAGCCAAATTGGTGGCCATGGCCTGCAAATACCGGTTTGGGCACTCACAACATCGAAAAATGCTTTAATTCGAAGATATGGAATTTCAAACTTGCAGTTTTCGGATTCTAAGGGGCTAATGCATTGGAATGCCCCCTTAGAATTTGTGACGTCAGCGGAGATCTAACGATTTTTAAATCTTAGACTAAAACCATTGTTAACACGTGATGGTATACGCTGGTTTGCGCGCAACGTCTGCCGCACTTTAAGGCTGCCAAATTATTGCTTCCAAATAAAGTCGCTAGTAACAGGGGAGATCCCAAAAAGTAAACAAAAGTAAAAGCCTAATATATTGAAAACCAGTGAATATTTTTCGGTGAAATTTGGTAGATATTCGTTTTCGCTCTTTCTGAACCGAGCGACATCACTTTCATGCCAATTCATTAACTTTTTTGAAGGTGGGAGGGTCCCTTTAAGGGAAAATCCTGAGTATGAGCGGCCGGCCGGCCGGCCGGCCGGCCGTGGGGACGCTCTTCAAAAGCTAATATCTTAGGAACGGGACATCCGATTGACAAGCGGTCTTCTTTACTGAATGTCACTTGGACGTAAAAGTTCTGTGGTGTGATGGCCACCATGCGTTCTTGCCAACCACCGCACGTGGCGCGTGGTAAAGTTGGACATTTTTTAAGAACCCCAAAATTGCAACCTCAATAACGGCACAACGGTTGGGCCGATTGAATTGAAACTCGGTACACAGTTAGGTCTCCATCAGATAATTCATCTGCATGTGTTAAGGTTGGGGTGCTACAGCACGTGCGCACGTGCAGGGGGCGCTCCCAGATCTCGAGAACGGCTGGGCCGATTGCGCTCAAATTTGGTACACGGTTGGGGACCAGTTAGTAGGGTGCCGTGCAAAAGTCAGTTTGGACCCCGCTTGCACGTGCGCACGTGCAGTGTGCCGCTTCCAGATCTCGAGAACGGCTAGGCCGATTGCGCTGAAATTTGGCACATCGCTAAAGACCGGTTAGTAGGGTGCAGTGCACAAGTTAGTTGGAGGTACCCCCTCGCAATTTCGCACGTGCAAGGCCCATCCTCTCGCTCGCTCCGTTGGTCGCCCAAAAGGCGTTTTACTGGTGTTGGTATCATTTGATTGATGTAGGAGGTCATGAATTGCGCATAGTGATAGGTATGTCTATGCTATGCATATATAGCTCTAGCACTAAGCATCTGCATTATGCAAAGCGACGTGCTGTGAAGATGCCAAACATGGTCTAGGTAAACGTATACAGGTTGCAGAGCTGTTAGCGTACCAAGTTGCATAAAAGTTGCATGAAATATGTAGATTGTAGGTACGGTCGTTCGGTGTAACCAAATGAAAATGATAGAATAGATATCTTATTCTTGTTTGTATCATTATGTTGTGTTATTCTGTGTTTGTTGCTGTGTGCTGTTACCACAACTTCTCCGATTAAAGGCAAAACAAAATATTAAAGCCTGATATTTAGGCTGTCCTATTTAATGACCTTGTTCATTAGTTTGAAAAGGAAAGCACAAAAGGCAACACAAAAAGTGATGTCATGCAGTGGGTAATTCCTGTGCAAACCAGTGAATGGGGCCATCCAATACACGAAAAAGAGAACATTGTTCGCGCGTTAGACGAGTGGTACCTATCGCACGCCTCTTTGCCCCTGATGTGACGCCGTATCTGTGTGTTCCAGGAGCGGGCAGCGTCCGGCTCGCTATGCGGATGAAGCTATGCTGGCTGGTCCTGTCGTTCGCTGTGTGCGGTGACCTGGTCTCTGGACAGCCTCAGGGCAACTCGTGTAAGTACCTACTTCGCCAAACATGAGAGCAATTGAATTATGGATCAACTACAAGATATGCCAGCATGACATTGCCAGCAGGCAAAATGTCACAGTAGTTTCCCAGGGACAGTCGTCGAGACGTCGTTTTCTACGGCCAGTAAAATCGCCATCCAGCTGCGTTCTGTCACGCTGCAGATGCTCGCAGAGAACACGTCGAGCCTCCTGGCTGCGGTGCTCCGCTCCGCCCCCCCCCCCCCCCCCGAGAGGCGCCGGCCGGAGTGCGGCGACTTTCGCTGCCGGAGAGCACTCGCCCGGACCGGTCGGCCGGCCGCCGCGCGACCCGCGAGTCGCGGGAGAGCTGGAGACTGGAGAGCGTGCCCCGGGGGTGTGAGACGCCGCGCAGTGAAACCGGCACTGCCGGCACTGGGACCAAGGTTACCGGAACGCCCCGCCCGGCAGCGGGGTGCAGTGTTCACTGCACGTCCCGGGCACAGGACGAGTGTGTACCCGTGCACTATAATGCGCAATTTTTGCATGGTGTTATAAACAAAGGCTAAATGCCATCAACGCACCTGAACAGAGGCTCAGTAATGATTGATTTGTTACGCTAGGTTACCCACAGGCTACCCATCGCTTCAATGTCCTGGAAGGTGTGCTGCTTTTTAGCTGCGAAAGAAAAAGGCACACAGCGTCCGTATACAGGCACAACTGAAGTTCCACATTGACAAGTGCATGCAAGTGCACTGATCACCGTGCGTGATTTCGGCTTCTATGTCGTCTATTGCCATGTACGTGCTGTATTTTCTTGCCTTCCCATTGCTCACTGCAAGGTGTCGAGTGTCGTTACTTGAAGTCGCGCTCACAGTTCGGCACTGCCACTACTGGCGCGGCGGTGCGCCGGGCTGGGCCGAGACCAGTCGTAGAGCGCGGACAGACTACGAGAGTCGCACGGGCCGGCACCGGGCCCCCGGCCCGGGGGTGAAACCGGAGGCTCGGAGAGGGTGGTGGGCTCCCACTGGCCGGCGATCCACCGCGGCGCTGGAGTGGTGAAAGGCCGCCGGCCGGCCCGAGCCACCACTGTGGTCCGGTCCGAGACCACTATGGTCCGACCCGAGACCACTGTGGACCCGCCCGAGACCACTGTGGTCCGGCCCGAGACCACCACTGTGGACCGGTCCAAGACCACTATGGTCCGGCCCGAGACCACTACTGCGGACAGGAAGTCTCCCAGCCGTGCAGCAGACGACCGGACCGGGATTGTTACAGGCTACAGTCGGTACTCGGTGTAACTGTTTTCGTGGTGCTCTTCTATCCAACGAACACGGACACACACGGGCAGCTAGTCCGTTGATGCCCTGAACCCCTAATTAGCCGCTGAGGTCCAGCCAGTCTACCCATTGAGACCCTATAACCAGGCTACCGAGACTCTGAAACCTATCTAGCTAGCGAACGGAGACCAGTAGCCATCCCACCGAGGCCCCTAACCAGTCAACTGCATCCCTAATTGGCCAGCGGCCACTTTGAGTTCATTGGTGCCTTTTAGAACTCGCAAACTCAATTCTGTCAGATGTTACCTATTTACGGCAAACTCCATCAGCCGAACCTCAAGTAATCTCAGTGACATCTTATATGACGTAACACAAGGTCTAATATAAAAAATTGAATACGCAACCATGCTGGTAGCCATGCAATTCTTTTTGCATTATTTTATAATTTTTCAGTTTTTTTTTTTCACAGCGATCATCGATCAAAGTTGACAATCAGTACTGACGAGAAAAGTTCCCTTCATCGCTTTGCAGGCATTGGTTTATGCATTGGAAACCCTAACCAATAATCTTCGATCAATTTTAGGGCACTGAAAAGAGAGGTGTATGAAACTGTCATGGGTTAGCAAAAATCTATTATCCATGTCACCCAGATATCATATCGGTCATTAGTGGCGCGTGAGCGCTCCGCCGCACTGTAAAATCAGCGTGCACTGAAAACAAGTTGAAAGAACGTTATGCAAAAGCATCTTAAAATATTCCACACTTAGGTTTTTTGGGTATTAGGGTAAACTGGCTTAGAGGCGAAGCAGAACGTCTGGTTCATGTAGAACACACACAGTGTTTCACATAGACCGAAGACACGTGCTGCTTCTTCGCGTGCAGTCTTAGTGGCCCCAGGGGGCTTCAACTCGACCAACACCGGTTCTTCAGTCGTTCTCCCTAGTCACGTGATATTACGTCACACCAAGCGCGCGAAAGATAAACCCTTTGAAGGTTTTGCACGAACTAGCATCGGGTTTAAGAAGAAGGGGTTGTGGTTTAATCAGTGTGATGGCTTTCATCAAGACCACGCCCGCCGTACCACGTTCTAGCGTCCACCGGAAGCGATCGCCATTTTTCGATCGCGTTGGATCACGCTTTGTGCAGTGACGAGCGGCTGGTGCAAGATTGGGTGAATGGCAAGTAATCGAATATTGAAGAACTGAAGTAAGGTTAATTTTTGGCTTGTCAAGTGTTGTGTATTATTTATATTACTTGTGATTGACAATAATAAGCAATATCACAACGCTCCTCAAATGCATGGATGAATGCATTGGATGAAGACAATTCATATGCAAGACCATTCAATGCAGTAAGTATTTATATGTTGTATAAATGCCCCATAGCTTAAATTATGCATGTGGTATTTAGACAAATCTTCCAAATGAAGATAAATCAGGAATAGATTCAGCTTGCCATTTTGGGGTCAATTGATTTAGGTATAAATTTGGCTGATTTTAATAAACATATGTTCTTGCTGATTAGTGCAATATTTTATCTAGCTGCACTTTATATGTCAAGTGCATTATTTTATTTTCGGAGTAGGCTCATGGTATCTGAAGTCAATCTAAGTTTTTTACTTCCTGCCTGTTGAATAACGCATCCGCCCGACTCTTCATTCCAGGGGACGAGGCCATCTCCGCTCTGATTGAGGCCCTGGAGTCTGAGGAGAGCGTCCTGGCGCGCGGAGACGTCGACATCGTCGAAAACGCTGGCTTGAAACTGGTGGTGGAAGGAGAAACTGTATGTGATTTGGGAGAATGCGATATCGCCACCCGGCTGCTGATATGGGCGACAGCGCTATACATACTGTGTTTGGGAAAACATCCACTTGCTAAAGCTAAAAATGTGTTCATATTTGGCTCTGGAGTTCTTTGGCTTGGATGTGTAAGGCAAGTGACACGGCCGAATGGAAAGCGTTCCTGCAGGCTGATTGCGGGCTGATCGCAGGCTGAATGCGGGCTGGTTGCGGGCTGATCGCATGGGCTGGTTGCGGGCTGGTTGTTCCTGACTGGAGACTTGCAGGCTGATTGCTCAGAGTAAAGAGGAAGGTAATACATTTTAAGGTGTATCAAGTACTGTGTTTGCGCAGCAGATGTGACGGCGCAGGTCGATAGCCATGCATGGGAGGTTCAATAGACGAATGAACGGGGATTTTGCGGTATTGCAATAGAACTGAAAGGGTTCTACAACCGATATTCAGAACACAGGGTGGTTTCCCTATAAACCTCAGGGACTTCTTCACAGACCCTTTGGGGTTCTTATCTAGGTGCTAAGAACGCTCTTATTATAAACCCTAAACCTCATAAGAGTCTTTGGAAGAATCGTGTGGATTCTTTTCATGAGAATGCAAAGCCGTCTACGTGAAGAGCCATGGGGGTTCTGAAAAACGGTGGCATAACATTTTACCCCACAGGGGTCTAAATACCCCTGTACGTTCTTAACGTTCTTCCAAAGTGTTTTCAGTGCATGCGTCAAGTTAAATCATCCATCGACTGGGATAATTTAGAATTCAGTACCGTTTGGACCCCATTAACCTTTGAATACTTTCGAAGCTGCTGCTGATCCGCTTTTACTAACCTCCAGGCCGTGCCCTCTTTCAGGCCAGCTCGGCCTCAAAGTCCCGCGGTGCGTTCGTGGAAGTGGGGGCTTGACTCGTTTCCCTTTCCTGTTATCCGGTAAAACCGGGGCCCAGCTCCACCAGCCTGGACCTGGACTGGTCGCTGGCCCGGCATTCGGCAGCGATCTCCAGTGAAACCTTCAGAGCGATCTCCTCGTGTCTCGATTAGAGAGAAACTTATCCAGTGTTAGGTTCAGATCTTGTTTAAGACGCATTAAGTAAGCTCACTTATTCCATTCACGTTCCTCTAGCCATTGACGTTTTGCATTTTGGCTTCATCTCTTTTTATCCTCATTGTTGGACTGTCGGCTATCGAACCTTCTTCTTGTTAAAGGCATGACCCAACTACGACAATTTCAGTTGAATAATGATGACTAATGTGTACCGATGTTGCAACGCACGCCGTATTACACACAGCACACAGCGGGCCCGCCGCTGCCGCCAGTGGGTATGTCTTGTAACAAAGAACCGGTGACGGCTGAAAGTGAGAGTTGGAGCGTGACGTCCCGTCGCGACCGGAACCGGAGTCCGGAGCCGCGGCGACCGGCGGGGTCGGGGCCGAGGCCGAGCGAGCGCGTCCGGCCTGCACGGCGCCGAGACGGTTCCAGGCGGGAGGGACTGGAGGCAGGGGCGGGACTGGAGCCACGCGGAGTGAGATGGAGCGGAGACCCCTGCCTCGGCGGCGGAATAGTGACGGTGACCTCTCGGAGCGAAATGCATGTTCTCATCTACCGACAGCGGCGCACGCGGTAGGAGCTCACCGGTCTGCGCGGCAGCCTCGTGAGCCTGTGGCTGGACGCCGACGCTCACAGTGACAGTGATAATCCTGCTCCGGTAGAACTGTCCACTGTAAACGGTCCACCGTTGTGTTCCGCCGTCCCATCGGCACTCCAAAACTGCGACACAGTGTCGGTGTTGGCATAATGCGTTTCGAAACCGTCTTCGGGCGCTTGATGGAAGAGGAACAATACAGTGTGTCCCAAGATCTGCCTGAGCGCTCCCGGTGTCGGTCTTTGATCCACGGTCCTTAGAACGCCTCATCGCGCTCCAGCTTTCCCTTCTCTTTCATCCCACGACTGCGCAACGGTTCAGAGAGGCCCGACGAACCTTATCAGAGCCTACTCATGCTTGAGCTGTTTCGTTTCATGGGCAGATGTATAGTGAATGGTAGGTACAGATCTGCTGAGGCTAAATACTTATCTATGCTGGTATCACGCCTCACTGTGCCATTTATGTAGATTGTAGCCTTTAGCCCTTAACTCCTTTAGTTATGCACCCTCATTACAGCACGGAAGAATGTCACACGCTTCATAATGATATTATCTTTAGCATTGACTCGTCGAAACCGGTTTCGACATGTAGGAGACTGGAATACAGAAGCAATCTACTGTCCTTAGCAGTCAGCAATGTTATCAAGTCCAGCGATAACTGTAAGCACCTGTGTTTGATGTCCCACTCATTCTGATTACCTGTGTTGTTTCAGCGTCAGTATCGGCAACAGACGTCGCCGATCGTCACAGGAGTCGGCGGGATGCCGGCAGCTGCTTCTACAATGGCGAGATGTACCGGTGCTTTTTCTCCATCACCTGCATATTCTCCGGAGGTGAGTCCGCCGAAACCAGCTCTCGCCCACCGCGGGGGCGAGAGCGCAGCTGTCAGTCGTCATGGCATTGCGTGGGCAGATGAATTTTACACAAGGGACAATGAACGCAGTTATTTAAAACTCATGCTTCAAATGGCATCACAGGCTGTTTTTATTCCTTTCCCAATGATCAGATTCTTTGCCCAAATGGAGAGATTAACCCTCGCCGGCACAGGGGGGGTTGATGCAACCCCCCTAAGGTTTTTCGCGAATAACTCGCGTAAAAAGCGGCCGATTGCGACGAAACTTTCAGTACCCTCGCATTGATCAATTTTACACCTACCTTGAAAATTTCATGACCCTGACCCCAATGACCTTTGACCTGTGACCTCTTTTCGGTGACCATGTTTGGCCGAAATCGCGGTTCGGCGCATGTCGGCTCGCATTAGCCGCGCGTTTGCAAGCTTTTCGTGGTTTCAAACGTTCAAACATGTGATTTGATGTTGCTCCCATGCATAAGGGTGGGTGTCAAGGTCACCTGAAGGTCAGGTCAGGTCATTGACCTTTGGTGACCTCGGGTGACCTCGGTTCACTTTTTCGAGTTTTACATGTTTCTAGGCTAGTTTTTGGAGCTGAATTCGAATTTAGCAACCATTTGAACATTTACGAAGTAGTTTTGGTGCCTTTGTAACATGTTACGAAGCTATCCGAGGCGGTTGACACGTATTACGAATACCCGTCACAACCCCTACCGGTTGACCTGACCTGACCTGACCTGACCTGGTCTAAATGCTTAAAGACATCATCTCTGATCAAAACTAACACGATATTCGTGATCATCACCCCGGAAAACCACATAGCAGCCACACTTTACGACTTTCTAACAGGTCCCGATTTTCCCGGTTTTCGGGTCATTGACCTGACCTGGAAGGTCACCCGATGACCTAGGACCTTAAAATTGGGTATCATCGGCTTCCTCTCGTGACGGGCAACACGCTCGTTTTTTCCGCGAAGCTCTAGCTCAATCAGGGGCCAAACGCGAGGGGGGGGGGTCGTACCAACCCCCCCCCCCCCCCTTGTGCCGTCGAAGGACTCAAAATGGCCTGTCCCGGCGAGGGTTAATATAGATGAAGAGTCCAGAGGGATCGTGCCGTAGCTCTGTGTGTCTGCCCGCCAGAGGGGAGGGCTGGCTGCTGCAGGGGCCGGCGCCGGCTGACCACTCGGGCTGCTCCCTGCCATGGTGACGCCACCGGCGGGCGGTGAGAAAGTGGGCGGCAGCTGGCGCACCTCACCGGCTCCGCTCACCGGTCACGTGCGGCTCTGTCAGCCGGACAGGCTCTCATGGACACCGGCTGTGGCCTCTGTCAGCTGCACCTCATCCCATCGCCCTGGGCAGACTCAGCACTGGCACTCGTGCAGTCTCGGTCTGTCAGTCTCCAGTGAGGTTTGTGTTCGCGCTTCCTCCAGCGCTCTCGGCCGATCCCGTCTGTCGAGTGTCCACAGAGACCCGCCCGCTCCGTTCACAGGGAACTGACTAGAGATGTCAATCGGATACCAACTTTTTGGTATACCGATACCAAACCGATACCAACTTGGTATTTGGTATTTCAATCGTAATGTGTTTGGTATTGTGTTGGTATCATAAGGCCTCACTAAGGTATAAGAGGCTAAGAAATCGGTAAAAAGTAGGTATTTCCCTCATTTTCCCAAGTTGGTTTGGTTTCGGTATTTTCCCGTGGTTTTGGTTGGTATTTGGTTTGGTATCGGTATTCCGATTTTCTGTAATTGACATCACTAGAACTGACGCCCGGCCCCGTCCGCTCCGTTCACAGGGAACTGACGCCCGGCCCCGTCCGCTCCGTTCACAGGGAAGCTGATGCCCGGCTGCGGCAGTCTGCTCTACTCGTGCTGCGTTCCGGAGTCAACCAAGCGGCACAGTGGCACGCGCCACGACCGCGGCTTTCGGTTTCCCTCGCTGCCGCTGACGGTGCCCCGGCTGCCGCCGCCGCGGCTCGTCTTCCGTCGGCCGCCGCCGCAGCAGCGCGGCTTCGGTAGGTGCCGCGCCCGGTCACACGGGTCACACGGGTCACACACGGGGTCACACACGGGTCACACACGGGGTCAGCGGGTATCCCGCAGAGTGGCGTCACAGGTCACACAACGGTGTCCGGAGCAGGCGGTGGGCTGTGACGGGGTAAGGTCGGTGATCGGCAGGTTCTCACGGTGACGTGCGATCCGTAATATACCATATCATTCTATTACGACGGATCGCTAACCCCTTAGACGGAATGACCGTCGTAATGAATGCTATTTGTTTCTACTAAAATTAGTGGTGCGCTAAATGCCTTCAGTCAATTGTTTCTAATTTTGATACGCTAAATGCCTACAGCATTCTTCTCTTATCTCGCCTTTTCCTGCTGTTCGGTGTTAGCGTCAGGCATTAATGCCGCCCTACCGATCGGTAACGTAACACGCCGTGAAGGCATAATGACGTCTCCGATGTGACACAATGTGCGCTTCAGCGACCCGGCACGTGTGTCGACTGTCCGTCAATTGTGCGACACTGCAGGTCACGCGGCGTGACGAGTTTTGTTGTTGGCGACATAACGCGGCACGCTACCGCCAGTGGCGGCGCGGCTCGGCGCCCCGTCTCGCAAACGGCGCCAGACCGCGACGGACCGCCCGAGACACGACCGTCCCGGCGCCCCGCAGGCGTCACCCCTGTCCCATGTGACGTCACTTGTGTTCCGGTGACGTCACATGCTGCTCTGTAGCCCTCGGTCACCTGTTAACCTTTTGGCTTACATCTAGCGAATGGTTCCTGGTCTTGAGGACAGTATTTTTTGTTGGACTTCAGAGCGTATAACTAAACCGCTGCACCGATCTGTGTGTGTGTGTGTGTGCTAAGCGATGTTGGTTGCCTGCATGCTTAACGATTGTGAGCTACCGTGTCAGTCTGAGCGCTCCGGGCTCCTGTGGGGGCTCCGGGACGGGAGTGGGATACTGAAACAGCCGGTGTCCCCAGTCCGAGCGCTCTGGGCTCTTCCAGGGTACCGCCGGACAGCGTGCCCTCAGTCCCTGGGCTCCCCGGGGACGGGTGTGGGGTACCGGGGCAGCGTATATCCCGTCTGAGTGCTCCGGACACTACCGAGATGACGGCGGGACGGCGCGTCCGCAGTCCGAGCGCCCGGTCTGCGCGCCACCGCCGCTGCCTGCTTCCTATGTGGCACGGACACCGTTTAGCACTTGCCGCTATCTCCGTTCACTTTGTTACGCTCCGTGGAGAAGGCGTGCCGCGCCTCCGTGGAAAGTTGGTCCACTTTGTCTGACGGAGCCCCGTGAGGAAGGGCAAAGCAAACAACTCACTGATTTCTACTTGGCTGCGGTTTTAATCCTTGGACCAAACCGGGAGATATTTGTGTGGTCAAAACCAGTTTAGTGGTATTTCAGTTTTTAGTGCTGCATGTCTATGTTTATGTTTGTTTATGCGTTCAGCGTTTTGTTTCGCACCTGTACAATGCTTACATTCCATTAAGTTTTGTTACTTTCTTTTTCATATGCCTTGGTATTGGTATCGTGTTTGTTACGAATGTCAATGGTCTTAGAATGTCCTTTTATATTTTATGGAAATTAAGTCCGAACCGAATGGATAAAAAGGTGGCTGCGGGCATGGGTGCCACGCTAAGCGGTGCTTGTTGCGATTGCCACATGTAAACATCGTGCTCGTCATATGAAAATAATGCTACATTTCTCAGTGAGAGCTCTTGTAAATATGGAGCCCCGCCACGCCAGCTGACGGCAGGTAGTGAATATATCGATGTGGTCTACACTCATTTCCACCAACTAAGCCGTAACCCAATAGGTCACATTCATTTACCGCAAACAGAGCCCCCCATCCTGTCCGCTGACGCTGACTGGGTGTGCCGCCGGCAGGCACGCGCCACTTCTCCGGCCGCCGGCCGCGGCCGCCGCCGTACCACCTCTCTGCCCCGGCGCCGACCAGCGCGCCGCCGCCGCCGCCGCCGCCGCCGGCCTCCCGAGCCGACGGCAACTACAGGCGATCGCACGGCGACTTCTCGACACGACCGGCACTCAACGAGATCGCCGGCCCCGTCATCAGGGACCCCGGTAAGCACATACCTACGAGTTTCCCGTCAGAGACCCCGGTCAGTATACCAGCCCCCTGTCAGGAATCTTGAACAGTCCCATCACCATATTAGTGGCCCCAGTCAGTCCTGTTCTCCTGTAAGAGGAAGGTTAGTAAGGTCAGTACCAGTCCTCTGTCAGGGACCCCGGTAAGTTCCAGTCCCTGTCAGGGATCCCGGTTAGTACCATTCCGCAGCGGTTCATACGGCCAACAGCAATAAGTCACTGAGGTAAAGGCTGCGATCATGAACCTTTCCCCTACGTAGTTTGTGGGGAGGAAAGGACTGGGCCTTAGTTCTTTTCATCTTTGAGCATTTCATGGACCCACCAGTGATTCTGATGGTGCGATTGTTTCCGCTCCCGTTGCGGCTGTAAAAATGGAAACCCCACCGGACCGCCGCGTGAGCCGGGAGTCCCTGACCACGCATGGCGGCACACGAGAGCCGCCGGCCGCCGCGCCGCTGGGCTCGAAAGCGAAACGGCGCCGGCGTAGAACGAACGGCTCTCGGCTAATGTAAACTGATCTCCCTATCAACCAGCCCGGTGCTTTGCCAGTTCTGAAATGCCTGCAATTTTCGGTGCACCACGAGCGGATATTCACATGCGAATAATGGTAAATGGATATGAGTTGGTGTTATGAATTTAATAATGAAATTGTATTTGTTTTTTTGCTAGCTTAATGTCAACATATGCAGAGCTAAGCTTCAATAACTAGGTCTTTTGGAGCATGATGCTGTAATTTGTAAAGTACATGATACGTGTTTAAAAAGGTGTTTTATATTCAACGTTAGTTTCAATTTTTAGATAGTTTCAATTTTTATATAAAGAAGTAGGTATGTTGTGAATCAATATCCATCTGTGACCTGACCTGTGACCTGACCTGTGACCTGGCTCGCCTACAGAGTGCGGGGTGCCGCGGCCGAGCATACAGAAGCGGATTATCGGCGGTCACGAGGCCAGTTACGGCGAGCTGCCCTGGCAGACGCACATCCGCATCCTGGGCTACCAGTGTGGCGGGGTGCTGGTCAGCAGGCTGCACGTGGTCACCGCCGCCCACTGCGTGCACAGGTGAGTCTGCCCGCCTGCACCCCGTCCTGACCCGCCCACAGAGTCTACGGGAGAGCCGGCCCGCCCGCACCCCGTTCTGCCCACCGCCGCGCCGCGCCGGTACCGCCCACCGTCTGCCCGGCCCCGCCCACAGCCGATGCGGAACTGCTCACTGAGTTTGAAGACGAGTCGGAGCGGTAGTAATTTGAGCGACGATAAATGTTTGCGATCATATTCCATCGCCTCCCGCTAGATGGCAGCAGCGGTGAACGCCTGCAGTGATGCTGTGCCGGATAGCCTTCCTACCACCACCCGGTAGATAACGGCAGCAGTGGACGCCTGCAGTTATGCTGATACTGTTCCGGATAGCATCAACACTTATATACCTGCCACTAGATGGCAGCAGCTGTTTACGCCTGCAGCTATTCTGATACTGTACCGCAAAGCATTCCCACTCTCATATCTCCCGCTAGATGGCAGTAGCTGTCTACGCCTGCAGTCATACTGATACTGTACCGCAAAGCATTCCTACTTTGATATCTCCCGCTAGATGGCAGTAGCAGTGGACGCCTGCAGTTATGCTGTTCCGGATAGCCTCCCGCTTACATACTTCTCGCTAGATGGCAGTAGCTGTAGTGGACGCCTGTAATTATACTGTTCCGGATAGCATTATTTCTCATCTAGTTACAACTCTGGCTGATGCTTGCAGCTACACATACTTACTGTTACGCACCGTTCCGTGCTTCTATCCTCAGGATACTGAAATCCTTCTCCTCCACGCCGCAACCCCCCTCCGGGCTGGACAGGCAACTTTATCTCATGCGGGCTGCTCCCTTGGAGCGGCACCGCTGCTCCCGAGGGAGCGCACCCCGTAGCCGGGTGCAGTGAGTGCCTTGGGGCTGGGTGGCCTGTCCTCTGGACGGGCTCAGCCCCGGCGACTCACTAGGGTGCCTGCCCAGACCAATGTCTCCCCCTATATCCTATCATCCTCCCGGCTCTGAAATGGTCTCATTGGCCCGAAAGGGCCTAACCCAACAAAACAAAACAAACAAATTACTGTTACGCACAGCTGGAATATAACAATCCACCTGAAATTTTGTTCCATCTGAAAAAATAATCCCAGTTCTCAATGATAGGTCGACACCCCTGACGGCCGCCTCCCGCCGCAGGGCCGACCTGAAGGACATCAAGGTGCACCTTGGCGAGTACGACACCAAGGACACGGGCTTCTACCCGGAGCCGTACCCGTCGGCGGTGCGAGCCGTGGCCGAGGTGCGCATCAACCCGCGCTTCCACTACATGCTCACCCAGCCGGACAGGTGAGAGCACTGGGAGAGCTAGGAGGGGAGAGGTGAGAGAGGTGAGCTCACTGGCAGAGGAGAGGTCGGTTACTGAGAGGAGGGAGACAGCTCACTTGGAGAGTTGGCTTGAAGTCACTGTGCCGAATGTCATTTGATGACGTTGCCGTGTTCGTGCACGTGTTACTTATATGGAATTATCGGTAAACGGCTGGTTTACAGATAACGGGAGCGTGGTACAGTTTGACGCTCATTAAACCCTACTATGTGCCTCTGACCGCCGTCTGTGTGCCAGGTTCGACGTGGCCGTGCTGCGGCTGGACTTCCCGGTGGAGTACCGGCCCAACATCCTACCCATCTGCCTGCCGCCGGACCGGGCCGACTTCACCGGACAGGTGGCCGTCGTGGCCGGCTGGGGCAAGACCGACAACTCGTTCAGTGAGTGACGCCCCGCCGCGGAACACTCCACCAGAGCGTCCTACCTACCCGTACATCGCACAATTACCTATGTGCCTCCTAACATGTAGGATCTGCGATTTCAATGCTATAGACCATCCAATTAAACTGCAGCGTAAAGAGTGAGAACAATCTGGTCAAACAGCTGTACTCTAAGTCCTTAGCTAGAAAAAAGAAGAAAGAGAAACAACTAAACAACACGGAGCTCTGCATATCTGAGAATATTTGATGCATCATATTTGTGTCAAGTGCAGCATCATGCTCACACGCACTCACCCCGCCCCCCCCCCCTCCGCCAGGTAAGACGGGCACCAACATTTTGAACAAGGTGCCTGTACCGATCATCAGCAACCAGGAGTGTCTGCGGTGGCACTACCAGAAGCACATTGACCTGCAGCTGCACGCCGAGATGTTCTGCGCCGGCCACGAGACCGGCCAGAGGGACGCCTGTCTGGTGAGAGAGGGACAGAGGGGGAGAGAGAGAGAGAGAGGGGGGGGGACTGGACAGAGGGACTAGACAGAGGGACCGGACAGATGGGCGCCTGTCCGGTGAGGGAGGGGCAGACGGACGCCTGTCTGGCGAGGAGAGGCCGTGGTCCGTGGTGAGAAAGGGACGCCTGTCTGGTGAGGCGCTGGACAGAGGGACAGGCTCAGCACCGCCCAACGGAAATCTGTGGAGGCGTGTAAGCTAGGCTAACAATTCTGTAAATATTTTGATTTTTGATCGACTTGTTCTCTGACCACAGAATACGTTCTTTTTTATCTTTTTCTGCCAAAGTTAGGCATACCATGGCTACGATAAACTTAACTTCTGACCTCTGCTGACCCTACCCGTTCCTCGGCTGACCCGGCCCGAGCCTCTGATACTGACCCGAGCCCGACCCGTTCCTCTGACACTGACCTCTGCTGGCCCGTCCAGTCCCGTCCACTGACCGCTCCCGTCTATCCGACAGGGCGACTCTGGCGGGCCGCTGATCGTGCTGCACGGCGGCCGGTGGACGCTGGCCGGCATCACGTCGGCCGGCTTCGGGTGCGCCGTCGACCACCAGCCGGGCATCTACCACAAGGTCTCCAGCAGCGCCGACTGGATCCGCGACAACATCCGCGACTGATGGCGCTGCCGGCCGCACTGCCGCGGTGCCGCTGAGCGCTGCCCGCCGACCGCACTGCCACTGAGGGCCCTCATGGGCCGGGTCAGACGGCCGCACTGAGAGCTCTCAGGACCAAGTTGGACGGCCGCACTGCCACTGAGCGCCCTCAGGGCCAGGTCGGACGGCCGCTGAACGCTGTCAGGGCCAGGCCGGACCATTAGTGGTCCAGATGGCATGGTGGGTCCTCTGCGGTACAAAGTAGAACGGTTCAGGGACATTCTCATCACGTGCAGAACGTGAGGAATGCGTCGGAAACAGGGATTCGTAACCCGGGAACATCCTGAAGACCTGAGCACACTGAAGGATGGTTCCCAGGCCGCAGGCAGAGGAACCATCCCAGGCCGCTTGGCTGGTGTGGTCCAGCGATCTCTGGCGGTAGCCGGTGTCTTGTGACGTGACTTGATGAGAAGTTACGGTGCTATTCCAGAGCTGGTGACGCTCGCTGCTTAGGAAACTCGATGTCGCGGCAACATGTTCGGGAATTCGCCGCCCTGACTTCGTTACGAGTTCGCTCCTCTCACCGCGACCCGTGTTACCTATGTCGAATATAGCGCAATTGTTGAACTGACGGTGATATTCACCAGTTGGTGCACCGTGAAAGGAGTTACCTACTGTTGGCCGGAATAGCGAGCACTTTTGTATCGGAGACAACGGATCGTTACGGTTAGCGCGCGGTAACGGCTGAGGAGAGGCTGCACACTGATTCATCTGCACATACGGCCCCGCACACTCGATATCCAGCACTGGCGCGCAATCGGTGGTATAGGAACACCTGCAGTTTGTTATTACGAGGCTCCGATTCCGAGTTGATCTCGCTCTCAACTCCAAATGCATTACAAATTGTCGGATGAGATAAAATCTAGCAATATGAGTCACGGAGTGCACAATCTGATAGATATTGTACTGCGGAGAGGCAGCATATCAAATGCTGCACACCGTGTCGAAGCTGTTTTTATCCGTGTTCTATGCACGCTGCACCACTGAGTGCACCGAGCAGCACCGCTACTCGCTGGCACGGCACCGCTGCTCCGGTAACGATCGGGAAGGTCCTATGTACGTGTTTATGCAGAGCCGCGGGAATTCTGGTGGAACGATGAGTGTAGTAAGTAGTGCTAGTGTCGGGACGCTGTTGCGCTGTCAGTGTGCTGCCGATACTGGGTGTCATGTGACGCCTGCTTTGCGCAGTGAGTGTCGCCGGGTGACACAAGGTTACCGAAAAGTATCAACAGAGGTCGGCCCGGCGGAAAGCGCTGTATAGGTTACCATTAGCATTTTGGGGTCCAAATGGGTGATCGGACCTTGCTCGTACGAGGAACCCGAGATTACTGAGACTGCCTTATTTTATTGGAAGCTTTATGACAATGAACTTTTGATAAATACTGCCTTCCATTTACTCATCTGAATGCAACGTATGTACGTGAATCAGGGTTCGGTTCTGCATGTCTTAACAATTTTAGAGTTCGGGATGGCTGCAACAAGCCGCTACCTGAATTCAGCCATGTTCGTACCGCGCAGTGTCTGTTGATGTTTCACTGCTGCTGCCGTGTGTCTGGCGCCGTCGCGACGGTCGCCGTATGCCTGCTGATGAGAACGGTATTTACATTGTTGTACGTTAGTGGTGTGACGTCGCTGCTGTTGGCGCCGCTGTTGGCTCGTTGTGGATTGTTTCGAACTCCTCGGGCGGGCTCCGCGCTGGCGACAGGCCCGCTGCGGGGACGGGGTTCCAGTGACTACGCAGTCTTTCCTGGTATATCGCCTGATCGATGTTTAGAGTCGGATCGCTGGACATGATGACGTACAATACATGGAAGGTTGTACCAACTACCAACCCAAACAGCCCGGCTTTGATTACACGGCCAATGTGTGTGTGTTGGGGGGGGGGGGGATGGGTGGATCGCAAGAGATTAGGCCACCAGAGTCCAATTTTATCGGATAGAAAAATGGTTGGCTGCTTTTCTTTGCCTCATTACATCCCCAAATTTCACCAGTCACGCAAAAAATATATCAGCCAGTCTAATAACTGACGCGTGGACTGATATGTAGATATTCATAATTTTAACCCTCGCCCGCACATGCCATTTTCCCATCCTAGAACGCACATGGGGGGGGGGGTTGCCACCCCCCCCCCGCGCCATTTCGTTCCTGTTGGAGATAGAGCTTAGCGGTAAAGACCAAAAAGATTCTTTGGGAAGAGACGAATCCAATGGTACCCAGTTTTACCTTCTCAGGTCAGTCATTGACCTTCCAGGTCAGGTCAAACTAAAAAATGTTGCTGTTTTGGGTCACCGTTTGATATCAAGTGCGCTGCTTATCATATGCCGATGACGATGCCGTTTTCTGGTGCCAAGCCAGCTAGAAGCTCTTTCTCACACTACCCGACCAGGTTTTTGCTGCTGAGGTCATTTCAGGTCAAGTTAGGTCAAGGTCAATTATATGTGTTTGTATGTCTGTGTGTGTCTGTGTGTATACTGATGTGTGCACCGATTGTTTATGTGTCCATATTACATGAAATCATGATCTGAGAAGCTTTTACCAAAAATGCAGTCAAAAAACTTCACAAAAAGTAAATTCCGCTTGCCTAAAACGCAATTATCTTAGATGACCTAGGTTGACCTTGACCTTGACCTTGACATCTGTACATCGTCGAACAACATGTTCCATGATAGGTGGGAGGTAAGACTGGTAAAAAAGGCCGAAATCAAGGTGTCAAAAGCTCACAAGGCCCATAGCCAACGCAAGATGTCGAGAATTGGCCATTTGGGTCATGACATGACCTGAAAAACAAGGTCATATCTCCGAAACCAAAGGTCACAGAAACTTGAAATTTTCAGTGGACCTCAAGAAAGGATAGAGGAGCAGCTATACGAAAAATCAGCCTTCTAGCTCTAAAAATGTTGAGTGCAGAGCAGAAAGACTACCTGGGGGGGTGGCAACCACCCCCCCCCATGTGCGGGCGAGGGTTAAACCATTTTCGGCAGAAGTGCGCTTATGTCTGGAGGTTATCGGGGCTATCTCGGCGTGACATTGGTCCACGTCTGAGACCGGCGGGATAATATCGGGCGGGCATCGGCCATTACCGATCTGACATAGGATAGGACATCCGACATATAGGATTCAGAACATCGGGCCGCTGTAGACATGAGACGGAGAAAACCCGGTTGGACATCGGTCGTCGGGCGGCTGATGTCGGGTGCTGGGGATGTCTGGAGCTGATGTCGGGTGCGAGGGATGTCGGGAGCTGATGTCGGGTGCGGGGGATGTCGGGAGCTGATGTCGGGTGCTGGGGATGTCTGGAGCTGATGTCGGGTGCGGGGGATGTCGGGTGCGGGAGATGTCGGGAGCTGATGTCGGGTGCTGGGGATCTCGGGAGCTGATGTCGGGTGCGGGGATATCGGGAGCTGATGTCGGGTGCGGGGTATGTCGGGAGCTGATGTCGGGTGCGGGGGATGTCGGGAGCTGATGTCGGGTGCGGGGGATGTCGGGTGCGGGGGATGTCGGGAGCTGATGTCGGATGCGGGGGATGTCGGGAGCTGATGTCGGGTGCGGGGGATGTCGGGAGCTGATGTCGGGTGCGGGGGATGTCGGGAGCTGATGTCGGGTTCGGGGGATGTCGGGAGCTGATGTTAGGTCAGGTGAACGTTGGCCGATACGGGGTCGGTGCCGGTGCCAAAAGTCCATAAACAATGCCCGGTAGCGCAGACAGGGGGGGGGGGGGGGCAGATGATAGAGGTGAAATTTCAACGGCCCTCAAAAGGCCTCAAAGGACCATCAGCTGGTGTCAAAGGGCCCTCAGCTGGCATCATCAAAGGGCCCTCAGCTGACGTTTAACGGCCCTCAGAAGGTTTTAACCCGCACCCAACTGGGGAATGTTCTGTAACCGGTCCCAGTGATGAGGGGGGGGGGGGGCTATTTAACCCTCGCCCGCACATGGGGGGGTGGTTGCCACCCCCCCCCCAGGTAGTCTTTCTGCTCTGCACTCAACATTTTTAGAGCTAGAAGGCTGATTTTTCGTATAGCTGCTCCTCTATCCTTTCTTGATGTCCACTGAAAATTTCAAGTTTCTGTGATTTTTGGTTTCGGAGATATGACCTTGTTTTTCAGGTCATGTCATGACCCAAATGGCCAATTCTCAACATCTTGCGTTTGCCATGGGCCTTATGAGCTTTTGACACCCTGATTTCGGCCTTTTTTTTGCCAGTCTTACCTCCTACCTATCATGGAACATGTTGTTCGACGATGTACAGGGGTCAAGGTCAGGGTCAAGGTCAACCTAGGTCACCTAAGATAATTGCGTTTTAGGCAAGCTGAATTTACTTTTTTTAAGTTTTTTGACTGCATTTTTGGTAAAAGCTTCTCAGATCATGATTTCATGTAATATGGACCCAAAAACAATCGGTGCACACATCAGTATACACACAGACACACACAGACATACAAACACATATAATTGACCTTGACCTAACTTGACCTGAAATGACCTCAGCAGCAAAATTCTGGTCGGGTAGTGTGAAAAAGAGGTTCTAGCTGGCTTGGCACCAGAAAACAGCATCGTCATCGGTATTTGATAAGCAACACACTTGATATCCAACGGTGACCCAAAACAGCAACATTTTTTAGTTTGACCTGACCTGGAAGGTCAATGACTGACCTGAGAAGGTAAAACTGGATATCATTGGATTCGTCTCTTCCCAAAGAATCTTTTTGGTCTTTACTGCTAAGCTCTATCTCCAACAGGAACGAAATGGCGCGGGGGGGTGGCAACCACCCCCCCCCCCCCATGTGCGTTCTAGGATGGGAAAATGGCATGTGCGGGCGAGGGTTAAAGCCCCCTAGCTCCTAAACTACTGGGCCGATTGTCAAAATCCAAACGGCCTCTGATAGCCATGGAAAACTGTCGAGCGAAACTTAATTTTATTGACCTCGAGGTAACCATTGACGTCACAGGTCAGGTCAAAGTTAAAATTATCAACGTTTTGCCTTTTTAACGTTTTGGGCTCTGGCCGACGGTTAACAATCGGGTCAGGCGCATTTTCTATTTACACAATCGTGAATACCTATATTTATTCATTTATTTATATCATAGACCCAATCCACACAAGCGTGGCTATTCTAGGGTCAGGGTCACAATTCAAAAAAAAAAAGAAAGTTTTTCACATACATCGTACTCGAATTCATTCTAACAAACGCACACCCAATCACACTTCCCCGCAAGCGGGTCGTCACTAGCCGGCATCGGTCTGTTGCTGGAGCATATACCTCCGCAGCTCTCTATTAACTCTCGCCGGCACAGGCCATTTTGCGTCCTTCGACGGCACAAGGGGGGGGGGGGGTGTTGGTACGACCCCCCTAGCGTTTGGCCCCTGATCGAGCTAGAGCTTCGCGGAAAAAACGAGCGCATTTCCCGTCACAAGAGGAAGCCGATGATACCCAATTTTAAGGTCCTAGGTCATCGGGTGACCTTCCAGGTCAGGTCAATGACCCGAAAACCGGGAAAATCGGGACGTGTTAGAAAGTCGTAAAATGTGGCTGCTATGTGGTTTTCCGGGGTGCTGATCACGAATATCGTGTTAGTTTTGATCAGAGATGATGTCTTTAAGCATTTAGACCAGGTCGGGTCAGGTCAGGTCAGGTCAACCGGTAGGGGTTGTGACGGGTAGGTATTCGTAATAGGTACGTGTCAACCGCCTCTGACAGCTTCGTAACATGTTACGAAGGCACCAAAACTACTTCGTAAATGTTCAAATAATTTCTAAATTCGAAATAAGCTAAAAAAAAACTAGCCTAGAAACATGTAGGTATGTACCTAAAACTCGAAAAAGTGAACCGAGGTCACCAAAGGTCAATGACCTGACCTGACCTTCAGGTGACCTTGACATCCACCCTAATGCATGGGAGCAGCATCGAATCACATGTTTGAACGTTTGAAACCACGAAAAGCTTGCAAACGCGCGGCTATTGCGAGCCGACATACGCCGAATCGCGATTCCGGCCAAACATGGCCTCGAGAATAAGTAACAGGACAAAGGGCACTTGGGTCAGGGTCATGAAATTTTCAGGGTAGGTGTAAAATTGATCAACTCGAGGGTACTGAAAGTTTCGTGGCGATCGGCCGCTTTTTGCGCGAGTTATTCGCGAGAAACCATGTGGGAGGGGGGCTCCATCCGACCCCCTCCCCCTACACATGCGAGGAAAAGCATGTAGGTAAATTGCGCGCCGTAAGCAACTGCAGTTCATGAAGGAAGTCACTCACACGATCAAATTTTCGACACCCGGAGATGACGCGTGCTGCGAAATTCAACGCTTTCTGTAGTCGACCAGTTTGTGTGGCGATACAGATTCCGTAGGGCGTAGATGCTAAGACAGTAGCGAATAAGTGATACGTCCGGGGACCGTACCTTGAGACCAAGCCAGCAGCGGTGATTCGCCGGAGGGGCCTCGGAGCAGCGCACTCAGCAGCGAACTGGCACCGAAGACCCCGCTTCACTGTTTGTTTTGTTTTGTTGGGTTAGGCCCTTTCGGTCCAATGGGACTAGTTATTTCAGAGCCGGGAGAATGATAGGATATAGGGGGAGACATTAGTCTGGGCAGGCACCCTAGTGAGTGAGTCACCGGGGCTGAGCCCGTCCAGAGGACAGGCCACCCGGCAGCCCCAAAGTACGCACTGCACCCGGCTACGGGGTGCGCTCCCTCGGGAGCAACGGTGCCGCTCCAAGGGAGCAGCTCGCATGAGATAAAGTTGCCTGTCCAGCCCAGCCCGGAGGGAGGTTGCGGCGTGGAGGAGAAGGATTTCAGTACCTATCCTGAGGACAGAAGCACGGAACGGTGCCCGCTTCACTCTCATTCACCGCTT